TTCACTCTTTCTTCCAGTGGTTACTCGCAGATCGTGAAACAGAGTGTGGCTGCGTTACATCGTGAAGAGGAGTCTCAACTGGAGTGATGCCCAGTTTCTTTGAAATTTTTGAGGTTGAGCGATTTTAGAGTGAGCGACAAAACGAAACGCTACAAATATCTCTGTTGTTATTACGGTGTTGGTATTCATACAAAATAAATACGTTTAACCAAAAAACATACTTGGAGGCTTTCTTTGGTTTAGCATTAGCGTGTTTGAGAAGCAGTTTTGTTGTTGTTTTAAATTCACAACTAATAAATTACCTTTTTAGTCTATACATCGTACATCCGGTTATTGTGATCATCATTGATATTTTCACGTAACAAAGTGATGTTTTAGAAAATAGGTCATTCGCTCAGACTCAAGCGCTTAAAGCTTACCTTCCAAACCCCGTCACGGTGGCCAAAGTCACCTTATTAATGTCTAATGCAAAACCCAAATTTTAGGTTTTATTCCTTCACCTTCAAAGCACAAGAAACTTAATCACATTAGCAAGGTCAAATTAGGCCTCTTTAAACAAATGCAACGCTTCAAAGTAAAATCGCGGACTTTTCTTTTTGTCAACTGGGCAATGACGCGGACGGTTTTTCCGTAATTTTCTGCCACATATATCCAGTGAGTATAGGCACAAGATATCTATTTTACATTCGTCAATGCAATTATGAGCTTAGTTTCGCACTTGGCCCAGGCTAACTTTTCTTTGCCAATTAACAATTCGAACGGTGACAATTTACCTGGCGCTTTTCTTGTGTTTCACTAAAGATTTGTTTTGTGACTACATTTCAGGTTTCCTAAGCGCGTTTAATTGTCTTTCTTTGAGCGACATTGTTACTGTAATGATTTTTATTGACCTAAGAAAATTGTTGGTGATTAATAATCAACTAGCTGACAAGCGTAAGCTTGGGTTAGCTGTGGTGTAGTAGACTAATGTTGACAAAAATCAAAGAAAAGTGTGAAAATTATCGTCATGTGCCAAACTAAGATTCCGGTTTGTATAGAGCTTGTGGAACGATGGGGTAAACGGCGTTCTGTGTTCGAATATATTTGAAAACCGTGGAGGCAGGAAAAATTGAACGAAGGCCTTTGCCTACTTCGTTTCATAGGCTTGAAAGAACACAGTCATTTAGAGAACAAGAAACTGAGTTGTTTCTGACTTATCAGAAACCTCATCATGCTGTAAATGCCAGTACTATTAGCCGTTGGGTAAAGTCTTTGCTCAAACGAGCTGGAGTTGACTCATCTAAGTTTGGTGCGCATAGCACTCGAGCTGCCTCCTCTTCTGCAGCTAAACAAGCAGGAGTGCCCATCATGGACATACTTAGCACTGGGGAATGGTCCTTAGAACGCACCTTTGCTAGGCACTATAGTGTACCTATTCAAAAGAAAATTTAAAAGCCAGGATATTTCTTGTCGATTTGTCTGTCAAGCTTGTAAAGTTACCTGTGGTTTTGGCTTTTGGTAAAAGTTACATGTAGATACACCTACACTGGTTGGGTTGTGATTAAAGAGTTTTATTGTTTCATTGATATCTCTAGCCTGTATTTATCATGGCTTCAAACTCTCACATGATCCCTCAAGCAGATGACGTAGAAGAACAAGAACGCTCTTAATAGCGTTGAGTCTCGCTTGCTTGGAGATGAGTTTTATTGTCAAAGGCCCCGGTGCCGTTATACTACATTTTCGTTTGGAATACAAAACGAGTGTTGTATGTCATAATGTATATACTCAAAAAGTAAAAATTGCAAGGAGAGACAGACTGCACATCTTAGCCTCAAACCGGTGTAAAACCTTTGAACACCTTCTACATATTGATATTGCTCCATTGAGGAGTACTCTTTCAGGGATTCTACACTCGAAAAATTGAACGATGATTTTTATCGGTATCAGGGGCCCATGGCTCTGTCAGTATAAATATACATAGCTTCTTTGTACCGGACCAAGATACGGCTCGGTACAGTATATGTTCAGCACAGGAAAAAAGTGTAAGTTGAACAGAACCTTATACAACACACAGTAAATTCAGTTCGCGCGT